ATGTGTATGCATGTATTGCCTGCATGTAGGTAAGTGCACCCATGTTGTGCAATGCCCAAGGAGGACAGAAGAGACTGTCGGATGCCCTGGGACTGGAGTTACGTACAGTTGTTAGCTGCCATGTGGGTGCTGGGATTCGAACACTGCAAGAACAGTCAGTGTTCTTAACCACTGAGCTATCTCTACAGCCCCCAAATTTATTTATTTATTTAATGTGTATGAGTGTTTTGTCTGCATGTATGTAAGTGCACCAATATTGTGCCTGCAGGTTTACAATAGTCAGTTCCAGGTCAACTGGGGCTGCCTAGTGAGACCTTGTTTTTTAAAAAAAGCAATAACCTGGGCCTGGTGGCGCACACCTTTAATCGCAGCACGGGAGGCAGAGGCAGGCTGATCTTTGTGAGTTCGAGGCCAGCCTGGTCTACATAGTGAGTTCCAGGACAGCTGGGGCTATAAGGAGACCCTGTCTCAAAAAGACAAAAAAAAAGTAATAAAAAATCAGAACTGCGTGCTGGTATGCTTTTGACAAAAAGCTCATTGCTACATTTTGTTTGGATAGCAACTACAGAGGAGAGTGGGGACGCCAGCAGGGCCTGAAGCCTATCTAGGGACTTGGAAGGAATTCTGGGGGTTAGTGTAACTAGACTCCTGACTCAGATTTGAAGGAACCCTGAGTTCTCATAATTTTGGACTGCATGTAAGTCCAGGGTCAGGGTCAGGCCCAGGTCTTTGACAGACGACAGGAGATGAGCTTGAGTGTGTGAGATACAGGTTCTTATGTTACCTGAGTGACCTTTCCTGTGCAGACATTAAACCCCCGAGAAACAGGAAGTATGTCTGTATTGCTCACCTGTGACACTAGGATCAGATCAGCTGCTTAGGAAATGTGTTAAATAAACATGTTTGTACACACACACACAGAGCCGTAAGTTCAACATTACCTCCTACAGGCACAGGTATGACAGTACTGTAATAAGCACCATGAAGAAAACAAAAACAAAACTTCAATGCTGAGTGGGGCTGTGGGGCTATTTTAGGCAATGTAGTCAGGGTATACCTTTTGGTGAAGGTGAGGTTTGGTGTGAAACTTGAATTTGGACCTCAGAGCCTAGCAGGAAAATGACTCGGAGCAGAGAGGACAGCAGGTACAAAAGCCCTGTGTCAGTCTGTGGGGCTGCCACCACAAGATACCACATGCTAGGCATCTTAACCAATGGTTAGTTCTTTCCCATGGTTCTGGAGACTGGAGTTCCAACGATCAAGGTGTCATCAGGGCTGGCTCTGGGCCTTTCTCCTTGGCTTGCGAACAGCTACCTTCCCATCATGTCTTATGACCTCTCCTCTGTGCACACATTTTCCCTGGTCTTTCTCTTACAAAGACACTATTCATGCTAGATCAAGGCCTCAACTTTGTGACCCCTCTTAACTTCAGTGACCTTGTTAAAGGCCCAATCTCCAAATATAGTCGCATTCTAAGGCACTTGGGAATTAAGCCTCAATGTAGGAATTTGGGGACATAGTTCAGTCCATCATAGGCCCCGAGGTACCATTAAACTTGGCTGGTTCAAGGATGGTTGGAGTAGCTCGGTGCTAGGGAAGCTGCTGGGCTTGAAGGCTTGTGATGTTAGGGATGTGTTCTGAGGGTCACAGAAGCTTCTGAGCACCTGGGTAGGTCCCTGGGCTAATCTGAAGGTACATTGGGATTCTAGACCTCTGCATGAAGAGACAGGTGTGGTTTGGGCCCATTCCTTACTCTTAAGATGCTTCTAGCTGCACAGTAGCCTCTCCCCACATAGGCTAGGAAGCAAAAAGCTGTCTTCGATTCTCTCCTTACCTCAGCTGCTTTCTCTCTCTTGTTCTCCCTAAGAATTAAAGGCTGGTGGGTGTCTCACCATTATGTCTCCACATTCCTGTCTGGAGTGATGCTGACCTGGTGAGTCGCCTAGCATTGGGCCCCTTGACCTCCCCATGGAGCTAGAGCTGAGGCTGGGACTGGGGTTGGGGAATGGGAAAGGGTTTCCTAAGGCTGACCTGTGGGGCCCTGAAAGCAAGTGCGAATCGAAAACCACGGTAGAGGCCCAGTGGCCAGAGCCCTGCCAAGCCAGCTGGGAGCTCTCTGGGGACCATTTCACAGTCTCTGCTCACTGGGGCAGAGGTGATAAGGAGCAGTAAGGCTGGAGAGAAAGCACAAGGGCTCAGAATGCCCACGTGTGTGCCCCTCATTTTAGAAAAGGTATGGGTGTGACCTCGTTGAGTCTTAGGACAAAGGACAGAAATCTGGGACTTTGCTTTACCTTTGAAATATTTTATCCTCTTTTGATTGGAATGGGGAATGGGGCAGGGATGAGTGTCAGGTTTTATAGTGTCTCTCACCTTTGTGTTTTTTTCCAGGCCTAATGGACTAATTTATCAGAAGTTTCGCAATCAGTTTTTAGCGTTTTCAATTTTTCAGAGTGAGTGTTCAAGCCCAGCTTCCAGGGAGGTTTCCTGGGGCTTTTACTTATGAGGTCTCCAGTAGACATCAGTGCTAGCCTGTGTGGAAGAGAGAGGGTCCTGGCCAGAAGTTCTCCCAGATCAACTCCACCTGCCCCTCCAGACCCCCAAGTATGCCACACTGATCTGAACCTGCTTTATCCCTTATTTAGGAATACAAACATCTCAGACAAGTGAGGATCCATCAAAACACAACCAGAAACCTCTGGAATTTTCCTAGGCATGTAGTAGTAGGCACTCAATAAATAAATGCTTTTTGGAATGTAAGATGTGTGGTACTATGTTGGGAGCTGCATGCAATCTTAAGATATAAAAGAGATAGCCCCATACAGGGAAACGTAGCTGTTAAAAATGAGATATTGACATTTAAGTATAGTTGTAGTAGATTTTTTAAAAAATTTAAAAGTGGGGGCTGGAGAGATGGCTCAGGGGTTAAGAGCACTTGCTGTTCCTGAAGAAGACCTGGGTTCAGATCCCAGGATCCACATGGCAGCTCACAACTGTCTGTAACCCCAGTTCAGGTAATCTGATGCCCTCCTCTGACCTCTACTGACACTTGCATGCATGTGGTGAATTTATGTACATGCAGGCAAAATACTCATATACATAAAAGATAAAACTTCTTAAAAATGAAAGGAAAAGGAAAAAAATATTAAAAGCAGGTAGTCAGACCACTCTCCGTGCCCTCTGGCCAGCTACACCCACTAACCTAAAGTTTGATAAAGGACACTGGATTTGGGGGACAGTCTTTGGGTGTATTGTCTTTGAGCTTGGGCACTGTGCTCCCCCTGCAGGCTGTGTCCAGTTCCTACAATACTATTACCAGAGAGGCTGTCTCTACAGGCTTCGGGCCCTGGGTGAGAGGAACCACCTAGACCTTACTGTGGGTGAGTAGCTGGGCAACGGGTAGAGTTGGAAGGAGTCCCAGATCAGCCCACCTCCCACAATGGAGGCACATCCTCAGAATAACGTACGACCTTCCACACAGCAAAATCAGGACTGCCACTCTTTATCTGACTTGCTGTTCATAATCCATTATGAATTCTGTTTTATCTACCAAGTATGGTTCCAGCTGAGTACCTAGATCCTCAGTGCTGGGCTCCAACTTTACCCCTTTCAATGTCTACATTATTTGGTCTGTACTTTCTATATATAAACACGCTATCGGGCAGGCATGGTGGCACATACCTGAAGTTTCAGCTATTTGGGAGGCTGAGATGAGATCACTTGAGCTCAGGAGTTTGAGGTCACTCTGGGGAACATAATGAGCACTTTTTTAAAAAAACAAAAGCAGTCTGGGCATGGTGGTGCATGCCTTAATCCTAGCACTGGGATGGTGGAGGTATTTGGATCTCTGAGTTGGAGGCCAGCTTGGGCTAGACAGTGAGACCCTGTCTAAAAAAAAAAAAAAAAATAGGGCCTGGAGAGATGGTTCAATAGTTAAGAGCACTGGCTGCTCTTAGAGGACCTGGATTCGATTCCCAGAACCCACATGGTTACAACCATCTGTAACTCCAGTTCCAGGGAATCTGATGCCCTCTTCTGACCTCCGTGGGCATTGCATTGACACAGGTGCATCTACCTATCTGTAGGCAATATACTTATACACATTGAAAAAAAAGAAATAGCCTGGCATGGTAGGGCACAACCTTAATCCCAGCACTTGAGTGGCAGAAGCAGGCAGATCTGTGAGATTGAGGCCAGCCTGGTCTACATAGTAAGGCTAGCCTGGGCTACAGGGAGATCTTGTCTCAAAAAATAACACACACACACACACACATATACATATCCATTCACTGACTGACTGTTACCCATGTCACTCTTCCCCACAGAAGGATTCCAGTCCTGGATGTGGCGGGGCCTCACCTTCCTCCTGCCTTTCCTCTTCTGTGGCCATGTGAGTCTCCTTGCAGTTTTTAGGTACCCTGTCTGGGCTAACACCTAGGAACAGAAGGTCTTTGGGCTTCCCTCCCTTACCAGCAGTTTATGCCCAGGTTCCTGGGATGTGATAACTGTCTGTACATACATCATCCCACTGGCTCCCTGTTTTAACATGTTTAATGCCTAGGCCTCCTACTTGCCTGGAATCTGAGGGCTTCCTCACTGCTTGAGCTCATGGCCCCAGATAGGGCCAGTCTTTGTGGAGGAGGGGTGGAAAGCCCCAGGGAGCCCCTTTATCCTCATTCCCTCTGGGTTCTCCAGACACTATGGATAGGGGTCAGAACTGGCACTTCAGACTTGTTCTATCTAATATATCTAGTTTCATGGGGCAGGGGGGCATTGATCTTAAGTGCTGAGGGACATGGTCCATCTCCCTGGCTTTCCACATGGTTCTGCAGGGGAACTAGTGGGTGAGTGTTGCCTGTCTCCTTGTCTCCAGTTCTGGCAACTCTACAATGCTGTCACGTTGTTTGAGCTCTCCAGCCACGAGGAATGCAGAGAATGGCAGGTATAGAGCACGTGTGTATGTGTGTGTGTGTGTGTGTGTGTGTGTGTGTGTGTCTATGTGTCTGTGTATATCTGTTTAGTAGTAAGAGGTCAAGGCTTTAAGAGGGCTGGCTTCCTCGGGGAGAGTTCCAAGCTTTTTTTTTTTGGTCTTTTAGCTGTGTAGACAGGGTCGCCTCAAACTCAAAGAGATCTGACTGCCTCTGCCTCCCAAGTGCTGGTATTAAAGGTGTGCGCCACCATGCCAGGCCGGTTCCAAGCTCTTGTCTGTTCTCTGCTATGGGTTCCTGCCACCCAGAATTTTTGGCTGCTGGTTCCTGAGAGAAACAGTGAGAGGGAACTCAGGAGGCCGGGGGGTGGGGGGGACCCTCAGTGTCAGAACCAAGGAAATCACCCCATTGAACACTCTCCAGAACTCTACCTGAATTTGGTTTACACTTCTGCCTTCTGTTCACTACTCCTGAAGCTTGCTGGGAGTTTGGAGTTGGGATTGGGGTTGGGGTTAGGCTCTCTTGTAGGAAAATTGACTCAAGCTTCTCTTCCCTCCCCTGCCCACCCTATGTCCTCTGCCCACCTGTGTCCTCTGCCCTGGGCATCACTGGGCCCTGCATCTCTGGATCACCTAGGTGTTTGTGCTGGCACTCACCTTCCTCATCCTCTTCCTCGGCAATTTCTTGACTACACTCAAAGTTGTGCAGGCCAAACTCCAGAAGAACAGAAAGAAGACCAAGCAGCCATGAACCTCCGGACCCTAGTGCCCAGAGGCCTCAGGACTTAAGAGACTGCTGGGATTCCAGTCAGCACCCTGGCTGCCAGTCACTGGTAGCCATGGGCAGCAGCATCTCAGGGACCAGCAGCATTGCTGGGAGCAGGGCCAACGCCCTGGTCCCCAGCCAGACACGAGGAATGTGAAGGCCATCTGTGTGCACAGTATTAACCTGCCCCAAATCCTTATTTATAATGTGTATTTAATGCCGGGTCTTCCCAGCTTCCCTGGAATCTGAGGCCTTCTCCTCAGCACTCAGCAACAGCAATGGCTGAGTCTGGGTCAGTCTTCCAGGGAGGGGCTGAAAGCCTCAGGGAGCCCTCTGTTCCCACCCCCATCATTTGAACCCCTCTTAGGGGTTTGGATGTGCCTCATCAGGGTTGGCTTTAGCAGACCTGCTACTTACTGCGTCCCAGGCACCTGGAGAAATGAAACTTTCAGCATCCTGTAGAGGCCTCTGCCCTGGGAGACCACCTCTGCTGTAAGCCCCTCTCCCCCAAAGTTCTCACCTTCTGTGGTCTGGGAGTATTTAAGTTCTCAGAGAACCACTGCCTGTCTTTGTCGCTCCTGAGCTGTTTACCTGATGGACACTTGGGGAAAGTAGCCCAGTCTCCTTGGGACCTCCAGAGTTCTACCCCTTGGAGCCAACTTACAAGGGTGGCCCTGAGGTGGCAGGGTCTTTAGGTTTCTCCACCAGAGGGCACCCCAGCCTCCAGGTTGTTTAAGTGAGTGTTCTGTGAGCTCTTCCAGATTTCTGACTGTCACCCTTCAGCTCTCCTTCACAGACTTTGTGTGAGTCCTTGACCTGGGACCCAGACCCGCAGTACTGACTGGGACTTAAGCCATTTGGAGGTCATTCACACCCTACCTCTAGGTTTTGGAATGTGTGGGAAGGAGGAGGGGTAGGGTCTGAGAGAGCCCAGCCCAGGGGGCCTCCTTGTGAGAAGGTCTGCGCCCATCGTATTACAGCAGCAGGGAGGGTGGAGGAGCCAACAGGTTCAGTTGAATGTTCTGCCCCTTCCCACTCATGGGCCTCAGCTGCCCGTTCAGACCTGACTTCACAGCTGGCTTCCTCAGACACACTTCATTTGGCCCTCAGAAGAGTTTTAAATTCTTCAGTTATGTGATAAAAATGAGATTTCTCTCCCCACACTGAGATTCTATGTAAGAGTCCAAACTTCTGCTTCCCTTAGAAAATTGGAAAGATTTGACAATATTCCCAAAAGGCAAGTTCAGGCATCTGCTCGTGTTTGCCACAGCCTGCCCACTCCCTTCATCCCTGCCCTACCTTCTGGTTTGGTCTCCTGTCCGGTCCTTTGCAGGCACCTGGGTTTGCCCCAGATCAGTAATCAGCAGACTTTCTATTAAAGGCCTGAAGATGAATATTTTAGGCTTTGTGGGCCAGGCTGATGGTAGCGAACCACAGCTGTAGAGCAAAAACAGCCATTGCATAATAAGTATGGCTGTTTAATAAAACTTTATTTACAAAAACAGGCTGGCCATTTGTGGCCTTCAGGCTGTGGTTTTCTGACCTCTGCCCTATACTATAATCTGTCCACATGGTCTTAGATTCTGAGAGAACAAGAGGTCCTTGGTTGGCTCTTTAGGAGACAGCAGGGTCTTAGGACACTTGGGGAGCAAGTGTCAAAATTCTCTTTTCTTGGCAACCTGACTTTGGGGATTTGAGTCAGGAGGTATAAGGGGATCATGGGCCAGCCAAGCCCATGGTTCCTTTTAAGGCAGTGCAAACTAGAAGCAAGCCATTCTTCTGGAAGGGGCATTAGAGCCACGTGGGGTACTTTCTTGAATCATTTTGGACCCTGGCCTCTAGATCTTCAGGAAGGAGTTTCAGGACTCAAGCATCTTGCTGTCAGTGACACTAGTAGTCTGTGGCCAGTTCTGAGAAACCATCCAGTATGGGCATGTCAGTTCTAGAAGGAGGTGGGCATGGATGACTTCTGAATTCCACATCCTGGTAGAAGCAGATTCTGGGTGGGGCAAAAGGTGGGAAGCTTGATTATTTAAAGGGCCCAGGTCTGGCCTTTTATGTTGGGGGAACCGTTTAGGGAGAGTGCTGACCTGCCCAAGACCCCTGACGGGCAGCTGGCACTGTTCATAAGTCTCCAGTGGAGGTAGGTGGGGGTATTGGAGGTAAGACCTGGAGCAGGGGTCAGACGGGCAGCCCAAGTACACTTTGACCTTTTGAGAGCTTGTTTCTTCCCTTGAGCACATGTGTCCCAGGATATGGCCAGGCTGCGGCAGAGGTCTTCAGTGTGAGACAGAGGAAGGAGGGAGGGGCTGATGTCAGCCCCACATCAGGGCTGGTGCCTGTGTCCTCCCGATAGGCTGTGGCCCTCACGTTCCCCAGGGGAAGAAGGAAGAGACTGGAGGATACATCCATGCCTATCTCTGGAGCCCAGGGTGAAAGTGACACTGGAGCTTGGGATGTCCATGAGCAGTGGTGCATGTCCATGGTTACCCACACTCCCAATGTAGCTCTGAGTTTCAAGCATGAATTGGGTTTGTAAAGGGGTGGGGGGCACACATGGCTAGAGCAGGAAGGGGCTGTGAGGAAGGCCCTTCTGAGCCTGGGAACAAATCCTAATCCCAGGTTAGATTGATGTGGGTCTGGCACCTTCATTCACCATCCTCAGCCTCCAGTGTGAACCTGTAGGGGAGAGTTCTAGAATGTTCCAAGAATCTAATCCCTTATGCCAGGCACTGTAGAGCTGGGGATGGAGCAAGACCCTAGGAGTCCAGTCCTGGGTCCCCAACCCTGCCAGGGCCATCTGCCCTAGGGTCACAGCAGCAGGCAGAGCCTGCGTTTTTTCTGCCGCTGTGTTTTCTTCAGTGCACTGAGGGCCACCCTGGTGGCTTCCCTGAAGACATCTTCCACATTCTCCCGAAACTTGGCCGAACATTCCAAGTAGAGTGCAGCTCGCATCAGTTCACAAGCATGCAGACCCTGGGAGGGACATGAGGAGACATTAAATGAGAGGCCTGGAGTAGGGGGCGCTGGTGCCTCCTGACAGTGGTTTAGGGGTTGGGAGATGGCTCTGGAGGCTCTCCAGAGTTATAAGCCTTGCGTGGGGTACCTGTCCGTTATCCACCCCAGGGCTGGCCTATTTGGTGTTTGTGTGGCTGGCTGAGCTGCTGGGAGAAGCCCTTTGCTAATCTTCACCCACCCTCTCCAGCTTCCAGCAGAGAGAGGGACTGAATTCTGAGGGCTGGGAATATGTATCAGGCCTGAGAGAAGATTAGGAAGACTTCAATACAGAAAGGAACTCCCTACACATCCCCTTCTGTTCCCTGTCAGCATAGTTTAGGCTACTGAGTTTGCTGGTAGAGTGAAATAATAAACATTTTGTTTTTTAAAAATGAACAGCATTATTAATATTTATTTATTTATTGGCCTTTTTGGGACAGGGTTTCTCTGTAGTCTCATCTGGACTGGAACTCACTATGTAGACCTGGCTGACCTTAAACTCACAGAAATTCACCTGCCTCTGCCTCCCTAGTGCTTATTAATACTTATTTGTTTTTATTTATTTTTTTATTATTATTTTTGGTCTTTTTGAGACAGGATCTCCCTGTAGCCCAGCTGTCCTTGAACTCACTGTGTAGACCAGGCTAGCCTTGAACTCACAGAGATCTGCCTGCCTCTGCCTCCCGAGTGCTGGGATTAAAGGCATGTGCCACCATGCCCAGCTTTTTATTTATTTATTTATTATTTATTTATTTAATTTTTTTTGTCTTTTTGAGACAGGGTCTCCCTGTAGCCCCATCTGTCCTGGAACTCATTATGTAGACCATGCTGACCTTGAATTCACAAAGATCCGCCTGCCTCTGCCTCCCAAGTGCTGGGATTAAAGGCGTAGGCCACCACGCCCGACTATTTATTTTTTAAACTTTATTATTTTTATGTGTATGCCTGTATTGCCTGCATGTAGGTAAGTGCACCACCATGTCGTGCAATGCCCGCAGAGGTCAAAAGAGGCTGTCAGGTTGGATCCCCTGGGACTGGAGTTACGGACTGTTAGCTGCCATGTGGGTGCTGGGATTCGAACCTGGGTCTTCTGCAGAACAACCAGTGTTCTTAACCACTGAGCCATCTCTCCAGCCCCAATACTTATTTATTTTTAGTATTAAAGTTTTGGTTTCTGAAACAGGATATTGATATGTAGCCTAGGCTGGCCTTAAACCCACAATCCAGATTCCCATCAACCTCCTAAGTGCTGGGATTACAGGGGTGCACCATCACACCTGCTTTGAAAGTTATTGTACTTTGTGATCTCTTCTATGCATTCTCCCACACCTCATCCAGGAAGCAATGGAGATTAGATTTCCCTGTGACTTTTGGGGGCAGGGGACTCCTTTTACATAAGGCCCTACCCTGTGGTCCCTCTCTGGGTAGACCAGACAGATGAAGGTTGAGCATAGACTAGAAGTGTGAGTGGACCAGATCCCGGCTCCATTCTCACTTAGCTGTGTGACCTGGGAAGGACACTCTGAACATGAGTTTATTATTCATATTTATTACTCCCATGTAAGCTGGAGGATGTTAATAGCATCTGCTGCAATGGTAGAAGTGTTAAATGACCAAGTTATTAGGAGGTTCTCAGATCTGTGGGCCATAAGTATGTATGTATGTTTACTTTTTATGATTTTTTTTTTTTTTTGGTCTTTTTGAGACAGAGTCTCCCTGTAGACCCAGATGTCCTGGAACTCTTTGTAGACCAGGCTGGCCTTGAACTCTCGGAGATCTGCTTGCCTGTGCCTCCCAAGTGCTGGGACTACAGGCGTGTGCCACCATGCCTGGCATGTTGTAGTTTCTTTTTAATCATGTATATGTGTACTAGGGCTGGAGCCACAGAGGCCACAGGTGTTGAGTCCTCTAGAGCTGGAATTAGAAGTGATAGTGAGCCACCAGAATGGGTGCTGGGATTTGAATTCAGGTCCTCTGGAAGTTTAGTACATGCTCTTACCCATTGAGCCATCTACCTAGCCCTCGTGTTTGTACAGAGTCTCACATTGTAGCCCAAGTTGGCCTGGAATTCACTATGTAACTTAGGCTGGCCTGGAATTTATGGCAATCCTCCTACCTCAGCCTCCCAAGTGCTGGGATCCTGGGTTTGAGCTATCGCCCTGACTTCTCAGTATTTTTAGGTGATTTTCAGAATGGTGTTTGCTTGCTAAGGCACTGCAACTACAGAGGCCAAAGGCCTAGGAAGCTTGTGAATATTCGGGGATGGTGGCCCTGAGTAGTGCCCACCTGTGTATAGGTGATGGGCTCTAGCTGGGCTGCCCGGAGCTTCCGCAACTGCTCCTTGTCCTTCCTCAGGTCTGTCTTGCAGCCGATGAGCACCATGGGGGTCCCTCGACAGAAGTGTGTGACTTCAGGGAACCACTGAGGAGGTAGAAAGCAGGACATCAGAGTGGAGGCCATGCTGGAGCTGGTCCCCACTCCAAGAGACAGCTTGAGCTTTCCTTACCTTGATGAGGACATTGTCATAGCTGGTGGGGTTCATGACATCATAGCAGATTAGAACGAGATGTGTATTCTGGTAGGAAAGGGGCCGCAGCCGATCATAGTCTTCCTGCCCTGAAACCAGCCGGGGGGCAGGGGGTGAGAGACATGCATCCCTGCCTGCCCAGGGTCTCAGCCTGGGCTTTGATGCGGGGGATAGACACTAGGCCCATGGGGCGGGGATGGGGAAAAGCACACAGATGACTTGAGATCAAACCTAGGTAATGCTCAGCTGGAGTGATTACAGAGTAAGAACTGGAAATGGTAAGGATTCCACTGAGGATGAGTGTGCTTCCCCTTCCTGACATTCAGGGACAAAACTCTGACTTTGGAATCACTTCTACTGAGATTCAGATCTGAGGGCTGTGCTAGTCAGAGCCTCCCAAGGCCCAGAAGATGTGTGCTGGTTCTTTGGTTCTAATGCAGCTGCCTGCTTTCCCCCTCTCCATTCTTGCAAATGCTAAGGAGGTGAACATCATTCCCTCTCACATGGCAGTCAGCTCCCACCACATCTGCCTGGAGACATAGTCCCAGAGCCAGCCCTGCCCCCTAGCCTAGTCAAACCTAGAGGCTAGGCCTGTGGTATATGGCTGGTTATTTTGCTTTTGCAGAACTTGGAGGTAACTTGTGTGTGTGAGAGAGAGGGTCTCACACTATGTAGCTTTGGCTGGTCTGGAACTCACAAGAGAGCTACCTGCCTCTGCTTCCCAAGAGCTGGGATTAAAGGTATACACCACCATGCCTGGCCTGGAAGTTACCTTTTATATCAACATTTTCAAAAACTTCCAGAGAGACTGCAAGAAAGAATGCAGAGAATTCTTCATTTAGCTTTGTCACTCATATTTTACCCACTTGTCTGGTCTTTATCTGAACACTTTGTCTTCAAGTGGGAGAGGTAACCGCAGACACTCTGCCCTCACTGCTGTCCTAACAGTGTCTCGGAACAGCCTTTCCTTGCTTGCCATGCTACTGAAATCAAACCCAGGAAGCCATGATGACCCTTTCTGTAATAATTCTGAAGGCTAAATTCAGATTTACCTTTTTTTCCTAGTGCAGGGACCAGCCATGATTATATGCCATCTTGAATCACCACGCACAAATGTCTTTAAAAATTCCCATAGTGTTACAAATATCCCAGTTACCACCCATCAAAGTAGCTTCTTTTTCAACAGAGGGTATTACAGAGTTATACCACTGGTCACACAGATTCTTTGTGAATTGCCCAAGCCTAAGTGGCACATCTAGGATGAAATGTCTACACCTAACACTCATGGAACATAGAACAAGGGATGAAGAGAACAATAATGTATCTTTCATTTCTCATCAATGAAGCTCCCTCATACAACAGAGGGCCAGGAACACAAAAGGTCACAAATGGCCAAAAAGCTGAGAATAAGAGTTGGAAGAGTGTGGGTCCTTGGACAGGTCTCCTATATTGAGGTCCACCCACCCAGTGCTCAGGGACCATTGTGGAAGAAGGAGCAAAAAGTGTCTAAGAGCCAGGGAGGCTGTACATGCACCTGGGACCCTTCTCATACAAACCTACAGCAATAGTGTCAGCATGCACAAGCCCCATGCAAACTTAGGCAGACCCAGCGCAGAAGGTCTCCTATATTGAGGTCCACCCACCCAGTGCTCAGGGACCATTGTGGAAGAAGGAGCAAAAAGTGTCTAAGAGCCAGGGAGGAGGTGCATGACCAAAGGGAAATAGTCCTACAGGCCAAAATAGCCTTGCAGGCACCAGGGACCCTTCTCATACAAACCTATAGAAATGGTGTCAGCATGCACAAGATCTAGGAGGTTTCTGGATATTCGGGGATGGTGGCCCTGAGTAGTGCCCACCTGTGTATAGGTGATGGGCTCTAGCTGGGCTGCCTGGAGCTTAGCTGTATGCAAACTTAGGCAGACAAAAACCCAGCACAGAACAATGGAAATGAACAGCAGGCCCCAATCTTAGTTGAAGAATTATTAGCAGCTGATTACTACTGAGTGAGAAAGAGCTGATCTTAAAGAGAGAGACGCCCTGAGTAGTGCCCACCTGTGTATAGGTGATGGGCTCTAGCTGGGCTGCCTGGAGCTTAGCTGTATGCAAACTTAGGCAGACAAAAACCCAGCACAGAACAATGGAAATGAACAGCAAGCCCCAATCTTAGTTGAAGAATTATTGACAGCTGATTACTACTGAGTAAGGAAGAACTCATCTTGAAGGGGGACTAGATAGACTGACTAACCCCAGTGGATAAACCTGCGCTGAGGGACATCTAGGGACACTTAACTTTACATAATAGGCATAATACAAATGACAGAATGTGGGGATGGAGAGATGGCTCAGTAGTTAAGAGCACTGACTGTTCTTGCAGAGGACCCAGGTTTGATTGCCAGCACCCACATGGCAGCTACGAACCATCCTTAACTCCAGTTCCAGGGGAATCCACAGCTCTCTTCTGACCTCTATGGTGTTGCACAACACGGGTGCACTCACATACATTCAGGCAATACACTCATACACATTTAAAAAAAAGAACAAAAAAACCCCACAAATGACAGAATGTATGAACTCCAGTGGGGAGGGTCTGGGAGGGTGTCAAAGGGGAAAGAGGTATAAAGATGATTTTATGTATGAAATACACAAAAATTCAATAAAAAATTATTAAAAAATTCCCACAGTGAGAACAGAGCACCTTTAAGACTCATTGGTGACCCCCAGTTACTTCTGCATCCATTGAACAATGAATATGAAAGCCCAGGGGCCTCCCACCCAGCCCTGCCCCTGTACTTCTTGGGGGCGCCTTGATGGTATCAGTCTCAATTCCAGCCAGGCCACACCCCATTCTCCACTCTCAGTCTCCCACTGACAACTGGAAACAACTCTGTCTCCTGCCTGGTCTCCCCAGCACCAAGAAGTCCTTAGCCCTCAGCCAGTTCCACCAAAGCACAGTGCCTATGGTCATGGGTACCAGAGGCAGATAAAGCATAAGTTCAAACCTCACAGGAATCCTGTAAAGCCTGAGTCTCCATCTCAAACACTGACATCTTATTTTTCTTTTCTTTTCTGTGTATGAGTGTATTGCCTGCACATATGTGAGTGCACCCATGTCGTGCAGTGCTGCTGGAGGTCAGAAGAGGGCTTCCTATTCCTCGGGAACTGGAGTCAAGGACAGTTTGTAGCCGCCATGTAGGTGCTGGGACCCGAACCCAGGTCTTATGCAAGAGCAGTCTGTGCTCTTAACTGCTGAGCCATCTCTCCAGCCCCTATTTTTTTTTCTTACTTTTTTTTTTGTCTTTTTGAGACAGGGTCTCCTTGTAGCCCCAGCTGTCCTAGAACTCACTATGTTGACCAGGCTGGCCTCGAACTCACAGAGATCTGCCTGCCTCTGCCTCCTGAGTGCTGGGATTAAAGATTTGCACCACCACGCGCGGCCTATTTTTCTTTGTTAATTAAAATTATTTACAAATTTTTACAAAAATTATTTGCGCGTGCATGTGTATGTGTGTGTGTGTGTGTGTGTGTGTGTGTGTAGGTTAGGGGACAATTTATGAAGAGTAAGTTCTTTCCTTCCACCACATGGGTCCAGGGTTTCAGATGCATCTTTGTCAGGCTTGGTGGCAAGCACCTTTCCCTACTGAGCCATCTTGCTGGCTGGCTGGCTTTTCTCCTTTGTTTTCTTTCATTTTTCTTTCTCCCTTTTCTCTCTTCTCTTTGTCCCTCCCCACTATTTTTTGATACAAGGTTTCTTACATCCCAGGCTGGTCTGGAACTCCTGATCCTCCTGCCTCCATTCCCAAGTGCTGGATTCATAGGTATGAACAAGCCCACCTACCTTAGAACACTGACAACTTGCCAGGCATGGTGGTGCATACCTTTAATCCCAGCACTTGGGAGGCAGAGGCAGGTTCAAGGCCAGCCTGGTGAGTTCCAGGCCAGCTGGGGCTACAAGGGAGACCCTGTCTCAAAAAAAAAAAAAAAAAAAAAGCCAAAAGAACACAGACAACTTAATAACAGCTGCTTTGTGGGCTGCCACCAATCTCCAGTGCATGGGGGTCATCAAAATGTGCAGGAGCCACTGCAGAGGTGGCTGGGCCAGTGGGACTGCCCAGGCTGTCCTTCAGCCAAAATTCCTCAACACTGAAGAAAGGGTGATTGACCTCATCTTCCTTCTTTGCTAAAATCAGAAGACTTGTGGGACAGTGGGACACTGGCTTAGCATGCTGTCCTACACATATCCCTAGTCTCCTCTCCAAACTTGTAATGTCTTTTCCAGGCCTGTGCTGTCCAACAGGGTAGCCCACAGCCCTGTGTGGCTATTAAAACTTCAGCCCATTAACAGAAAAAATTAGTTCCTTGGTTGTACTAGCTACATTACAAGTAATTAGTTGCCACATGGGGCTGGTGGCTGCTGATTAATGGGCAGCTTGGGCCCAGCATTTCAGTCACTGCAGAAAGCCCTATGCACAGCTTGGATCTGTCTATCACTTGCCAGCCAGCCCTACCTGCACACTATCCTTTATAAACTCCCATTGGCCTCTTGTGCCATCTCTTCTGTGGTCTCCTACAGCCCTTCACTGAATCCATTCTCCACCTGGGTGCCTGATGAATCTTAAAACAATAGATTCAGCTGAAACCCCATCAGGGACTTGTCCTCTTGCTTTGACATAGGGACTTGCTATGTAGCTCAGACTGACCTGGAGCATGTGACAATTCTGCCTCAGTCTCCCTGGTGCTGGGATTACAAGTGTGTACCACCACACCCAGCTTTATGTTTTATTTTTATTGACTTGTTTTAAAATGACTTGGAGTTGGAGAGATGGCTTTATGGTTAAGAGCACTGGCTGTTCTTCCAGAGGACCCAGGTTGGGTTCCCAGCACCCACACGGCAGCTGACAACTGTTGAAGATGGGTGCATTTACATAACATGCACGCAAAACACTCATATACATATTTTTATAAAAAGACTTGGTAGCTAATTTTATTTTTATTTTATGTGTATGAGTGTTTTGCATGCATGTTTCTAAGTGCACCCATGTGAATAATGTCCAAAGAGGCCAGAAGAGGGTGTTAGATCCTTTGGAACTGA